GGATATTACTACTGCAGAGTGATGTTTTCGGCATCGGCGGATACGATCGATCGATATAAAACCCACAGTCATTTACATAACCTTTGACGTCAGTGGCGAGACTTGTTTCATATTATAGAGCTGAACCGAATGGTGAAAACCGCAAGTCTCTAGCATTGCTAGAAAAAAAATTATAGCGAAAATGAGATGAGGGCCACAGTTCTAGGATGTTGTGCGAAAATGCCATAGAAAATATGATACAGGCCAAAACTTCGGCATTAAAGCGGATCAGTTCATATTCGTAATGTTAAACAGCCTGTAACTCGGTCGTCCGACATCGTAGAAACGTAGCCAACATCTCATGTGAATTTCTGTCTCAAGATTCCGAAGCCTAGCATAAGGTTTCTTCATCGAAATATATAGAACTCGACGGGCTCTTTCATTTGAGACCAACTTCAAGATTCTACGTTAGGAAATGTGGTCAGCAGGTGTTTAGGCGAAATCCGCCAGAAAATGTCTTTTTTCGCTGCGAGGGTAAAATGGCTATAATTTTTTTTCTAACAATGCTAGAGACTTGCGGTTTTCACCATTCGGTTCAGCTCCAATAGTAATATCCGAAAAAATAAGCGTTCGGACTTTTAACTAGAAATGAAGTACCGGCTATTATGTAGAGTTTTAGAAAAGTTTTAGCTTTCTTTTGAAATATAATGTACACCGCAACCTAGGTTCTTTCATGGTAAAAACACAGAAACATTATCTATCACTATGCTTGAAAATATAAAATTCTTATTTATGCTTGAAAGGATAATTATAAACAAAGGAACAGGAAACACAATAATAATTATTGTCTGTTAAAAAAATGAGGCAGGTGACTATGGGTTTTCCGAACTGGAAAATCTATTAACAAAAATACGCGCCTTCGAGTTTTTCAATCTTATAATCACGTTTATCGGACAACATTCATTGTATCCTGAGGTTTCGAACTTGTTCTGATATTTTTTGAGTGAATAGTTTAATATCAATTGAAGACAGCCTGGAAGTCCCAATTCTGATAAAGCTCCGTTTTGACCCCGTTTTTGAATTATTTTCTCAAAACAAACATTGCCATCAGATTGAGCATGGACAATTACGTATGTTTCATCCAATCTCAAGACTACCTGAAGCCTTTTTGGATACCACTCCTAAAGCTCAAAGGAAATTGAATATCACGCCCGAACGACTGAAAATTAAGATCTCGCTTGACTCGCGTTTTAAAGAGCACACTTTGGATTATCTGTTCATGAATAAAGTGAAAGTATTCGTACTTGAACTTTTTGAGCTATGAGTTGGTTTTCCAAAGATCGCCTTAAAAACTTATTAATAGTCTATTTTTGAATTAATATCTGTTATAAACATGTATCCTAAAATCTCTTCTTCTGAATGGTGAAAACCCAACCTCTCTACCACATTTTCTTCTCGAAAAATTTAAAAAGTAGTCACGCGCCTTATTTTTTTAAGAGACAATAATTCAAGGGGGGAAAAGCGGCACTTCGGTACTCCAGCCACTCCGCGGAGTAAAGCACACTCCACCGTACTACGCAATCCTACAACTGCTGCGTAGACTCAACCGGGCGCCAGACTTTCAGGTGTCTCCTGCCTGCATATGTCTTGATTGACGGCCCGTAGTAGATGGCATTTCCATGTGTCAGTCGAGCCCGTGAACATTTTGAATTTTGTCAGTGTTCGTTCGAGTATTTCTGAATCAAATTGCTTGCTGTCAGTTATGGCATCGTGTATTCTTTTCAATGTGGCAGCAAGGTTCTCACATTCGTTATACACATCATCGTGAGCACCACACTTGTGAGCATAATCGTAGTCTTTCGATAGTGTATAATTAGCACAATGATGCGGGACTGTAGAGGATTTATTAACGTGAACCCTGTAGTTCAACTTCAAAATAAATTCGAGCACGCTTAGATTGTCGAAAATCCATCGTTTACTGAGCTGGTAAACGATCGATTTTCGACAATCTAAAGCGACTGACGATGTCAAGCCCTAATTTATCGACGAGTAAACATAAATCGTCGAAAGTTAGCCCGACATTTGCAGCAAAATAATTGATACTCTGTAAACTCTGTCTTGTACATGCTTTACAACCCTCGAGTAATGACAATAGACTTGTGTACCCAAGTGGCGGAAAGCCAGGGTTATTCTCAAGTGTATAGGCGTATTCTCTATTTACTATTCTCAATGGAATCAGATTCCTGATAATATTCGCTGCTAGGCTCAAATAAATCGATTCGTAGATCATGATGTGTTTGGCACATATGAATCTTGTCGTAATCCAACTTTAGCGTGATGGCTGTATCCGTTCGATGTAAAGCAGCTTCCCGAATGGAACGACTGTAGGAAAATAGCGATCTTTTAGTTTATACTTTGTGCTTTTTTCTTGGCGACGAATGTTTCTATAGCAAAAAATTCTTCAACTGACGAAGTTTTCATTTAACACTTAGATATATAAAGAAAAGAAAGGACGAGTATGATATTTACCTTTGTTATGTCCTTCGGAGAAAGAAGAAGGATGATAACATCACTTGACATAATTACATAAAATTCATTTCTGTGATGCTCCTTATCAACCAAACGCGTACCTGAGTTATGCAAAGAGGTCGCGAAGGTCATTTGAAATTCCACAACACAATGAAACTCCAAAAGCTTTGTACTTTACGAAGTTGACACATGCGTAAGAGTAAAACACAAATAACCCTTACATACAAAGGCAAAACCGAAGTGTGTATGTTCAAATCAGTCCTACCTAGCTTGCTTTGTAATCAGGACTATCGATTTCCTATGAAACGTGTGTTTTCGTTTATTAAAAATAGGTTTTTTGGAAAAAACTGTCGTAGCGGTAGCGATGGCACAGCTGAATGTAGCGAATTTTTCGACATGAGGTCCAGGTCTTTACACAAAGTTTCACGGCCCACATTGTAGAGAATTGAAAGCTCTACAAAATGTCATCAAGTCTAGACTACAATAACCTAACGGTTGAGAGATAATTATATTTTACGCGAAGAATTTCACTTTTCAATTGAAATTCACTCTCAACTCAGTCAGAAAAGGTCTAAAAGTCTAAAAATGTTTTCATTCCCATAGTTTCACGTGTAGAATCGAAGCCCCTTATAAAAAGTATAGGTTGTAAATTTTCAAGTGACCGCTTTATGATGGCATGCTCGATCCACTCACGAATCCTCTCTTAAAGTAACATTTTGAAGAAAACTTTTCGCCGACAAAGTTGTTCAGGATCAACCTCTTCACATTGTAAGCAGATCGCTTTTTTCATTTTAGTGGGGAAATTTTGAAATAAATCAGAAATAAAAAATTTTGAGCTTTAAATTTACTTAAAATTTACGTAAATTATATTTATTTAAAAATTTTCCCACTAAAATGAAAAAAGTGCTCCACTTTGGATACACACCTAAGGAAATATCGATCCTGGGGCTTCCAGGAAATACAGTGCCGCGCCTAAGCCACGAAAGATTAAGGATCGCTTAGTTTCCATTTTGTAGAAGAAATTTTAAGCTATCATATTTATATCAAAAATACAGCGATCACCCTCTCTCTCACCCTCATCAATACGGTATACTCTGACCTGTAGCTGAACTTGTAGCTAATTATCTCTTCTATGCAATGCTGAAAATTACAAGCCTTCAAAGTACATTGTTCAAAAGTTATTAAAGAAATAGGCACCGGCATTCTTTTTAAAGAATATATGGGCTTTTGATTCATATAAAAGCCCATATGTAAAAAATCACGAAAAAATCCTACATCTATGATAAATTAAAAAACAAATACAGGATTTTGTAGCGTTTGAATAGCTGATTCAAATGATATATTATTCGTTATATTTCAGCGAAAGATGTTGAAGAAAAAAAGAATGCAAACGACCAGACTACAGTGACCTGGCATTAACTTTAGAAAAAAAATTCAGAAAAAGTCTGTTAGATAGATTAGTCACTAACGCTGACCTTTTTTCTCGCTTCCTTCTCTCATTTACTGTCTATTTCTAGACTAACCTGTGAGATTGCCGAAAAACGCTCTCCTTGAATAAGAGTTGCGACAGATAAAAAAATTTAACTGCATTTTAGTGGAAACTATTCTAACTAGAAGCATAAAACTGATGTAAAATTCTATTAAAGAGTGTCTCAGGGCAATCATATGTAGAGAATTTGATAGAGGACGGTATTTAAAAACTGCCAGATAAAACATGGATTGGCAGGTCAACATCATTGACTAGATACTTTCTTCCATTTTTTACACACATAATAACCATGAATAATTGTGCATCTAAACATCCTTGAACCAAATTTTTGTCATTATTCCTGAATGTCTTATGAAATATCGAAAATTTTGACCAAATTTAAACGTTACAAGATTTATAACTTCACCAATATTCATAGGACCGCCGAAATTTCTTGAAGATGCATAGTACTCAACTCAGTCTACAACCTGCCATAATTGGAGGTCAGATTTGGGAATGATCGTTAAAACACAAGAAAAAGACAACACACAAAGAAAAGAAAAAAGATTGACTTATTACATCAAACAGAAAAAGATAATGTCTTTCAAGGTGAGAATTCATTATACACACTCTGTACTTTTTTTTCATTTTTAAAAGAAAACCCACAAGAATGAAAAAGAACTTATTTCTTGTAATTTGTCTACTATTAATTTTATATTTATTACAGGGTGTTACTATTGGTATAGCACAAGCAATTCCAATACTTCTACAGTATTATAGTTCAACTTACAGTGAGCAAGGAATATTCAGTTTAGTTTTTTGGCCATTTTCATTTAAGTTATTATGGGCACCAATTGTTGACAGTTTCTATATAAAAAAATTTGGTCGTAGAAAAACATGGTTAATACCAATACAATTTACCATTGGAATACTATTGATTGTGACATCGTTTTTCATCAACAGCTTACTAAGAGAAAGAAATGTAATTGTTTTAACACCGATATTCTTTTTCGTTATCTTTCTGATGGCTAGTCAAGATATCTGTGTTGATGCTTGGTCTTTACATTTACTAAATTTTATTGATGATGAGAACAACAACAAAGAAGGCAAAAGAAATTATCTGGGATGGCAATCAACCTGTAACACAGTCGGACAAGCATCAGGCGTATTTACTGGCATGTCATTGCTGCTAATGCTGGAGTCACACAATTTCTGTAATAAATATATCCGGCCAATATTTTCTTTTAAAGACCAAGCCTATGGTCTAATCAAATTTTCAAATTTTTTATTATTTTGGGGTATTATATTTATTATTGTTACCTGTTCGATTGCCTTGTTTTGTCGCGAACCTGAGGGCAGTAATGATGATAGGGGTAAAGAGGGTGTAGAACATTTCACAATAAAAGAAACGTATCTGTCGGTAGTAAAATTGTATAGAAGATCGTCTATGTGGCATTTAACATTTATTTTGTTAACATTTTCAATGGGATTCGCAGCTACAGCATCTATGACACATTTAAAATTAATTGAACATGGTATAACAAAAGAAACTATTGGTTTAACAGCAATACCACTAATACTTATACAAATTACAGTACCGTTCTCTGTTACACGTTCTACAACCAGTAGAAAACCCTTGAACTTATTTATTTACAGCTACATTCCACGTTTAATAATGTCTCTCGTTGTTCTAATTCTAATCTATCTTACTCCATTATTTCACATCGCTGAAACAGTTAAGTTTCATTGGTACTACTACCTCGTTCTCGTTCTCATCCTCTCATTAAATGAAGCTTTAACAAGTGCAATGTTCGTTTCACGCCAGGCATTCTTTGCACAAATAGCTGATCCACGAATTGGTGGTACATATTTAACTTTGTTGAATACACTAGCAAATTTTAGTTTTTTATCTTTTAATTCAATTAACTTATTCATTGCTGGACGAATATCAAAAATTAAAAGTTTGACAGCAAAATTAGATACGTATACGCTAATGGTTATATGTTGTACAGTGCTGGGAGTACTGTGGTTCGTATTGACATACCGAGCAATGATAAGACTACAAAAGATATCAATTGAAAAATGGCATTTAGAAAAGAATAAGAAATTTAGCGATGCTGATATTGATAATAAAGAAGAAAGAGATGGAGAACTGGTATCGCTAAGTGTTTCACCAATAACTGCTTAACTATAAATGTGCTAACTTTTTTCTGTGAAAGATTTCGGCAATTACTATATAGAAAAACGTAAAAGTCGTGTACGAAATTCCAGTTTTTCGAAAACTGGCTTTGAATTCGAATCTTCCGATGAAATTCGGTCCCTTTTAACGGCTGAACCTAATCCGTTTGGGCGAAAAGAGTTAGAAAGTTTTGAAAACGCGTCATATAGACTTTTAGCCAAAGTACAACTGTCCTTTTTCGACATATCTCTCCACAGCTCACAGTTCCCAGTAAAGAATGAAACACGAACTTGAAAATAGGAACTTCAGTCTTAATTTTCCTTTTAACCTTTTTTTCAACTGAAAAACGCGCTTTCATACGTTTTCTTGAGAAAAACTCGTCCAAAACGCCAGTTTATAGATCAAAATTAAATATTAAATATTTGCATTCAACAATTAATTGAATCATCTTCAGTTGATATTGATCTGAGTGATGTTTCGAACAAAATATTTACTTGGTTTTGTCGACACATACTACATGCATGCCCGTTCTCACGAAATTCGTTCAACCAGACCACAATTTTAACGAACATATTCTTTCTCTAAAGCATTCAAGAACATCCAAAAAGAACGCTGTTTTTGAACTTTAATGTTTTGCCACGTGTATGTGCGTGCCAATCGCTCTTCACAGCATCTAAAACTGTTCACTGAATCTTGAATTGATATTAATTCATTGATTAAACAGTTCATATAGTATCATAAGCCGGTTGCTTCGCACGCTTGGTGGTGTTTGTGTATATGAGCCACTAATGATAAGCCACGACTTATTACTGTATAACGCTGCTCAATCGATCATCTCAGATTTGCTTCAACATAGTGGACTTCTTTAAAGCAAACATTTTCATGAACGTAAATTCTAAAGTTGTTGCATTGCTGAGATATTCAATTTTTGCGAAGAGCCCAAAAATGCACAAATTCCGGCATCTAAGGAAACTGACAATGCAAACTACGAACAACTCCATAACGACACATTACTTAGACTAAGGAATACTATCATAACTACCAGATAGTGTCTACTACAAATTCACACAACCGCGAGCTCGAGACATGCTTCCGTTCTTTTACAGTAGATCATCCCGTGAGAGCCCAAATCATCGATCCGGTCATTTTGGCAAACGCTTTTCTCCCGAAAACCGGACGAATTTCTCGCCCACCACGATATTGTTGGAGTACAACAAGTGTACTATCATGAGCGACGGTGGGACTTTTGGAATCTTTTAAAATCTCCTGGAAAACCAAGTGAAGTTTCTAGAAAACCAGGCCATGAAAGTTTTCAATCACTTTTGAGATTTTCACATCAGCCATTTTATAGAGCATATCAAGTTACACATGTCAATCCATTTTTATAACTATTCGATGAATTCTAACTAAGTTTTAAATTTTTCAAACACTAGTGTATTACCATGTATGCTTTTAAGCAATACTTGGACTAAAACTTTCTGATTCCATCAGAACTAATCGAACGGTTATAAAAATAGATTGACACGTGTAACTTGATACAACAACTTTAGAATCTGCATTCGTGAAAATGTTTGCTTTAAAGAAGTCCACTAACGAGGAAAGGACACCAAGTGATAAATCGCTTCTAGCTTAAAACTTAGCGAACAATAGGTAATCGAGTGTGCTGATTCCGAATACTAACATGAGACGGGCCGCTAGGCCT